GCGGGCGGACCCGGACCCTGACCCCCTAGAGCCAATCGACCGCCCACGTACCCCGCGACCGGGACAACAACAAACTCCGCCAGGCGGGCGTGACCAGAAACAGCCGGGCAGATAGGCGCGTTTCCGGCTCCTCGTCTGAGAGCCCGGGGTGGGGATGGGGGGGGGGTCTGCTGGCGGAGAAAAGGCCTGACCACAGGGTGTGTGTGTGTGTGTGTGTGCGCGCGCGCCCAAGCGATTGACTCCCACACCTGCTCGGGTCGGCTCATTGGGCCTGCCCCAGGCCAGGGCGCCGCCATGCCCGCCGGCCAAAGCCCCCGCCCCAGGCGCGCACATGTTGCCACCCCATCCCGGGCCCGAGGAGAGAAGGCCGAAGGCGCGCAAAGGGGGACGATGACCCATGACAATAACAACGCCCGGGCCGGGGGGGGGGGGGGGGGGCAGCGGCCGAGCTGCCCGCCGGCCCGGGGTGGGGGATCCTGGAGCGCGCCAGGCGTCTTTAGATGCGCGGGGAAATATTTATATCCCAGGGCACCATCAGGGAGGAGGCATTATTTTTGCTGATTTATTATTATTTTCGCGGCTGGGTTTACAGTTTTCACCCGGCTCCCCCGTTCGCCGGCCTGCGCCGCGACCCTATGCATGGAGAACCAGCGGGGGGCCGCCTCGCCGCGCTTCTCTCTCTCTCTCTCCCTCTCCCCCCTCGCTCTTCCGCCCTTTCGAGGCACGCACAGCGGCCAACCGGCCAACATATGCGGCAACCAGTCTCCCCTCCTCTCCGGCCGGCACGCCAACACAACACGCTCGGACGATTGGCGGGACCGTCACATGACTGGCCGCCACCCGAAGAGTCATGCACGTGCGCTCATCACGCCCGATGCTCTTGACCGGTTAGGGATTTTCCCTGCCCGCCCCTCGGGGCGGGGCCGGGCGGGCGCCGGTATGCCCCTCGCCCCTGGGTGCATGCGCGCGCCCGGGTGCCGCACCCCCCCCCCCCCCCCGGGCTCAGGCCTCCGGCCAGGGGCGCATTCTCACAGTCGTCCGTGCGTCCTGGCTGCGTACGGTCCGGCCGGAAACAACTGCCCCTGGGTCCAGGCTCTCACACCCCTCCCGCCCCGACCCAACGCGGCGGCGGTCGATGTGTCGGGCATCAGCCTGATTCCCCGCCCCCCCGACGCGGGGGTCCGTGCCGCAGCCCCTCGCACCGGAGGGGATGGACGGCGCGGGCCGGGGCAGATCGACCCGCGGTTGGCAGCACCCTTTTTCCGGGACACCGGCCCCGCCTCACGAGCTTGTGTGGTGTGTGTCAACCGGCATCCTCCCCCCTCCCCCCC